GCTCATCGCTCTCACTCCCTCTCCCTCCTTACACTCCCGCTCTCGCTTCCGCTCCTGCTCCCACTATCGCTTCCTTTTTTCTCAGTCAGCACCCCCTTACACTCCTCTTCCTTCTTCTCCTTCAGTATACTGTTAACAATATACAATATATTGTTAACAGTATATTAATAATAGTATTTATATTTATTAGATTAATAATATTTTTTGATTTTAATACTATTAATTTTTATTTATTTGAAATTATTATATTTAAATAATTATATTTAAAATTTTAAATAATTATATTTATTAATTATATTATATATTTTTATATTTTAGCGCCTCGCTTCGCTCGGGCGAGCGCCTGGGCAAGCGCCTAGCGCCTTGAGCGTTTTTGGACCTTAGCGTCTTTTGGCGCCTAGCGCTTTTTAAATCACTGATAGAGACTAAAATGTATTACTGTCAACCAAGGTTTGGAAAACATTGGGTGTATAATAATACACCCAGTATTCACTGGTCTGACAGTCTAGCGACACATGAACCTAGGTAAACAAGATGGTACGCCCAGTAGAGGGCCTGTACCATCTGGTTCAGGGCCTATATCATCCGATAGAAACATGTAGATTTTTTTTTCAAAACTCGAGTTTTTGTAGCAGCATACTGACACTCACACACAGTACAGACCTATATGGTGTCGGTTGGAGCCCTGACCGATCCATGCACATATATTACGTAAAAAGTTGCATAGAGGCTAAGATAGATAAGTGAATAGTTGCTATATTAAGCAAGAACCCAAGATGGTTTCTCTTAAACAAGAACCAAATACATTTCTCCAAGTCAAATTAATATGACAAAATACAGTTTTCCTCTCATGAAAACCCATAGTAGAATATCATCACCAGTTAGATAATAAAGATGCAGCAAAAGGTCTAGAAGTCAAGCAAACTTCTTAGATGAATCAAATATTATCATCACCCAAACTTTGTATAACATTTCTCCTAGTCAAATTGACATGAGATGAAAAATAAAAAAAAAAAGTTCCTCCCTCAATTCTATACTGTTCAAAAATGTTGTAGCAACTACTAGCTTCTATGTTACTCATGCAAAATGCAAGTTATGAGCTTTCAAACATCTTAACATGTAATTCCTAAACTAATTGTATTTCATGGTGAGTGATCATCCATGTATGTGTCATTTACATTATGGATCTTTCAGAATAGCATACATCTTACAACACAGATACAACTTAATCAATATCGGAATTCATGATAACAAGAGACCTCAACTTTTTTCATGAAAGTTTCATTAATTCTAAACATGTCTGTCCATGTGTGATCATTATGGAATCCTAAACACATACTTGTGTAACATTTTTTTAACATAATAGAAATAACATCCTGGATTATGGAATTACTTCATTAAAGTCAAGGATAAAATCAAATCATAAACATCAATTACATACCCCAATCTCTGTTCTAATTATTCTTTCTAATTCCTGTGAAACTGACATACATACATAAGTCTGATTGCAAAAAAAAATTGCAACCATACACCATTTTACAACATTATTTTTCCTGATCTCGCTCTACCCTCAGGAACACAACCCAAATTTTTTTTCTACTGGCTAGTCAGTCTTCCTGATTGCTGCTTAAACTTCAAATGTCTTTCAAGTCAAGAGGTTTTACCGTGTCAATAGTTAATGTTTTAGCAAGTGCACTGTCAAAAAATAGATAAACAGATCTGCTAGGAAATGAGAAACAACACATTAACAACACCTACCGGGTTAAGCAAATATTAAAGTTTGAACCAACTCATAAAAAAAAAACAAGAAAGCATAAAAGATAGACAACTCCTGGAGAAAGGGAACATTAAGAAAGCAAAAAGATATTGAGAACATACCCAACAAAACAACAATTTATGTTTCAAGTCTCCCATGAGATAATCAACCACCTTTCTGGCATTATCACTGAAGGGGTAAAACAAAAAAAATGAAAACCATCAAAAGCATAAGGTAAAGCTAAATGGCACCGAAATAATGTTGTACCATTTGCTTATTAGTGACTAGAAATAGGAAAAGTTGAAGTAAAAGCAAAAAATAATAATCACACCTTTTTCTTGAGGACCAGACACCTACATGAAATCTCTCAAAACAGAACTTCAGAAAATCATCACAGAAGGGCCTTTTGAAAACTGATACATAGTGCAAATGTAATATCAATCAGCATTTATAACTTGCACCCGTTGCCTAAAGTATAATTACTAATAATAAGTAAATCAAGAAGATACTTCACCTGATTTTCCTGCAACTCTCATATGTGCTCCATGATACTCGGTAGTGATATCAGCAAGTAATCCATTCAAATCAAGGACAAGTAGCTTTTTCCTGGAACGAAGCGATGTTTCTGCCATCAACAAGACAACATCTTTTGAGACATTACTCATCGATGAACGAGCAAACTCCTTCTCCTGACCAGTGGATGCATCAGTATGTTTATGTTTATAGTCTGCAGCATTGTTTTCATCAGTAGCCAATTTCACCCTCTCTGATCCAATTCGAGTTCTTGATTGGATAGCCTCCACAGAGTGGTTCATTGATGGGTCATCCATGAAAACTTTATTATCCATTTGGAATGAGAAACTAGCGCATTCTTCATTACATGAACCCAACTGATTATGTTGCTTCATAGGTAAATTTGGAGAGTTTAGTTTCTCTATCACACCTCTAATTGGTGATGGAGGTACACTCAACCCTTCCTTCATGCCAGCAGGAAGCAATTGCAAGCTTCCTTCTTCAGCAGCAGTATAGCACTGCTGACCCTCGCCAGGGTAATCCAACAAATTTCCAGTATTCTGTGCTATTTCTTTGCTAGCTGCTTCTGCATTTATGTCACATTTCACCTCCATATTTCTCTTTTTACATTCATCTGATGCAGATATCCTACTAGAACCATTAGCATTGACAGATGCAGCAAACGGATGAGAGGTGCAAGGTCCAGCTGTGCAGACTTGTTTATCTGATGCACAGCTTGTGCTTCTTTCTTTTTTCCTACCCTTCCTACCGTGGATAGAACTGGTGCCTTCTTTCTTTAATAAGTTTAAGGATACATCGACTGTGGTTTTATTTCGTGAAGCTTGATTAGCACACACATTAGAATCAGTATCTTCCACATCAATGTTGGACATCACATTGTTCTTGATGGTGTCAACATTCTGGGAGTTGTCAGGTTTCCTTTTCTTCCTCCTACGTCTTCTTCTCCTTCCTGCTTTGTGCATAAAATCTGTTTGCGGGATCACCTCCTCCATTTTAGAATCAGCAAAGGCATCAGTCATAGCATCAGTTTCTTTCTCCATCAATGCTGCTTGATTGCTTGGATGAGACACTTCATCACCCTTGGGAACCGAGACAATTTCAGAAGTCCCAGATAAAGAAGTAGCAGAATTGGTGTTCGAGAATTTATTTTTTAGTCTTTTTTTGTTCTTCCTACAACGCTTCGTGCTGGTGCCTTCCAATATGATAAAGTTGGAACTGTCCTCCGGTACTGTGACACTCATTTCAGCAGTATCTATCAAATAAGAATTATCAGCAAAGTCTTATTTCCCTTGAGTCTTTTGGGTAACTTCAGAGATAAAAGAGCTATCTTCACACTTGCGGTCAACTGCTCCTTTTCATTTGTCCAAGTAAATATTGTCCACACAGTCTTGTGTTTAAAAGGCTTTTCAACTAACTGGCAATATATAGGGATTCTGTACTCTAAGCGGTCTCTGACTTTTGTTTTCTACCAATCTTTGTGACATCCACCAGTGAAAAAAACTAGATGTTATCTATTTAAATTCATGCATCTAAAGTCACATAGGATGAAATTCCATCTTTCACTTATTGCCTAAAATTCTCATAAACACTTTCATGCAAGTCCTATTCCAGACTTCCCTAACAGAGCTCGTTAGTGAACTCAACTCAGCTATACTTTGAAGAACATTCTGACTAACTATTCAGAAGGAAAGAAACAAATCACCAAGTCAACAGGGCAAACAGATCAACGGAACTAAGAAAAAACATCAACTTACCAACAATCCTACTCAATCGAGAGTTTCACGTCAAAGGGGAAAAAGAGAAAACAAGTACCAAGGAAGCATTGCGCAAACAGATTGGAACACGAACAAAGCAAGAGAAGCAAGCTCCAGCGCCTGATTCGGCGGCGTAACTTCACACAACCGCGCCAAATCACTCGCAAGGGAAGGAGAAGAGAGAAAAAGAAGGGAGAAAGACCGAGCCTTGACTCGATCTACTGGAGATTCAAATCTCTGTTAGGGTAGAATGAAAACACGTAACTTCCAGAGGTAATCAGAAGAGGGAATCCGCACCTGAGTTGGTGTATTTGCGCTTGCGCATCGCTTTCTTCTCTACCACTGCTCCAATAGATAATTCTACTTCTACATCTCCTCCTCCCCCTCCCCCTCGAGATTTCGTCTCTTGGGAGACCGACCTCACCGTTACATTTGGCCGCGTTGCGGCTCGCTGCTTATATTCGGCGGATCTCTAATTATTTTATCGTGACCGTCCGATCAATATCTAACGGTTGATTGCTATTGCCATCCAAAGAGGGAAAGCCGCAACGCGAATCCATGGACCGGACCGGCCCAATTGTAATCCTTCCTGAAACCGCTGTCCCTCCGGTAATGGCGACTAGGGTTTTGGCCAGGCTCCCTCTCCGTCGCATCCTCTTCGAATCCCCGCCCAATCGATCATTTCCATATCGAAAGATCCGATCGTTCTCGAGACCTTCGAATCACCATGCAGCAATTCCGTCGGAATCCCCGTCAAATCCCCACTTCTCGCGACAAGTTTCCATCGCCGGCCTGCTTCTGAGGTACGGTTTCCCCCAATCCCAGTTGCACGAGTTCATCCGAAAGAACAGGTTTTTGATGGGTTCATCCCCTTCTGATGTCGAGAAGTGCATAGGGATCCTCTTATCCTTTGGCCTGAATCAGGATTCTCTGTTTTCGATCCTTTCCTCTTGCCCTTGGACTCTGGAACTAGGGTTTTTAAGGAAATGGCAGACGGCCTTCTCGGAACTACGGTTGCCGAGCCTTTCTCCTTCATTTGTCCGGAGAGCACTCGAGCAGTCTGCAAAACTCCGAATTGATCCGAATGATCTCCACCGCGGTGTGCAGGTCATGAAGAATCTAAGCCTTAATGATAAGGCTATGTCTAGGGTTCTGGAAGAAGTGCCTTTGACATTGATGAAAAACCCATTTGACATTGGCTGTAGGATTGATATCTTGAAAGATTTCAGGCTTAAGAATGATGAAATCAATAGGATTTGTTATCTCTTTCCTGGATTCTTAGCGTATAACGTCGACAGCCGGTTGAGGCCTTTGTTTGCAGAGCTTCGAGACTTGGATTTTACTCCAGAGGAGGTTAGGAAGATGCTACTCAACAATCCCAAGCTGCTGCTCAGCATGGAAGCTGGGGAGCTTTCTCGTTGCGTTGATTTACTGAATAGTTTGAAATGCAGGGTACCAATTAAGAAGAAGATTCTAAGTAATGGTCGACTAATGGCATGCACTGAGGTAAAACTTAGAGTGGATTGCTTGTGCTGCCATGGTTTGATCCATCGAGATGCTTTCAAGGTTTTGTTTGTGGAGCCGAGAGTGATCATATATGATTTGGAAGACATAGAGAAGAAGATTGATTTTTTACTCCACAAGTTAGGTTTATGTATTGAGCATCTAATTGAATTTCCTGACTATTTGGGTGTGAATCTTCAGAAACAAATAATTCCACGTTTCGATGTCATCGAGCACCTGAAATCAATAGGAGGACTGGGTTTTAATGTTGGATTGAAGCATCTGGTGAGACTTAGCAGGCTGAAGTTTTACAACCTGTTTGTGAAGCCATATCCAGAGTGCGAGAAGATCTTTGGGGGATCGATTAGAGAAATTAAACCCCAACACCCAACTGGGATGTGGAAGCTGTTTAAGCCACAGAAATTCTCAGATACTGAGGAGGATGTGAAGAATATGAAGCTGTTCATGGAATCTTTGGCCTAGTGCAATTTGAACTTAATTTCTAATTGCTTTATGACTTGAAAGGCGAGTAGAAATCCAACTATAAGGTAAAACTAGTAGAATCCATCTTGAGTGATCTGAAATTGGTGGACTGACAGACATTTGAACAAATTATTTACCCAACTTACCCTTGATCATATTTCATCAAAAGGTTCATGCAAATGAGGTACTGACCTTTTTTTTTGCTTTCGAGTCCATCTCCACATTAGCATGAATGATAACACTTTTTAAGGGTTGTAACAGGATGCTGAATCAATTATTTTCTTTCGGAAGGATCATCTGGTGATTGGCACGCCGAAACCATAAACATGCTCTCTCTTACAGTATTCTGGAGCACAAGGAGACGATGCGCATTCTCAACAAGATCCTGGTTCTGATGAAGCAAATGCCTGTTTCCAAGGATGATATCTTGCAGTCCAATGTCATATTTACTTGTAGCACACTGCCGAAGCCATAATGTCATATCCGTGCTTGATGTGCTAACATGAACTTGTCCGAGGCAAATGATCTGAATGCTGAAGTCTTATCAAAATCACCGTATGTCATGCCGTAGCAATCGAAGGAGTTTCTGTTTGTATTGTCTTGTTTCTTTTTTGTGAATGATCAATTTGCTTCGCATAAGCTCTCAATTTCTGGTAAAAAAAACAAAAAAAGAAATCTCTTATTGCTGCCATGAAGGCAAGTAACATTACTTGTAAGCAAGCCCGACTGTCATTGGGCAAGATGGAAAGCTAGAACCTTTAGTGTAGCATGGTAAAGTTGTATAAACCTGTGCTCAATTTATCTATCAGCAAGGTAAATTGTCAATTTAGGGAGTCCATTCCCAGAGGACATATTCTAGTAATGTTTTGGTTGCTGGATAAAATGATGCAGCTTTTGGCTTGTATTACATGTTTGGATTATTTCTTTTAGTAACATCCAAGCATTATTCACCATATTGATTCGATTTTTTTAGCTGCTTCTCCAGCAGCCTTTATTCGAAATGGCCGAGGAGGCAATTCAAGGCCGCAAATGTTCTCAAGAAAACACATCGCCATATCATCACTGACAACAAACAAATATCCATCAATCATAGCAAAACTGAGAGACATGTTAGGGAGTATCCATTCTCGTGTTGTTTTGCAGAAAAAGACTATGTCCATTACACCCACTTCTGATGATAAAAGCTTTGCAGGAAAAGAATCACATTGATTGTAGAAAGAATCAAATGACATCTCCAGGAAAAGTTAATAAAAAATTTCCTGGGGACAAAGTGTCTGTGATTGTTGGTAGAACAGTCAAAGTGCTGAACTGGGCGCTCCCAAACACTATTTATTGCCGTATAAAAGGGATCTTGAATGATGTCTTGCCGTTGCTGCTAAAGACATTTAATGGGGACAAAACTCACAGCAGATTTGGATTCTCCCGTGTGTGTCTTATGATGCAACTTGCTGATTCCCAACTATGGTGGCAATCAAATCTCTTCGCTTACAGCACAAAGCCTTTCTGAAACACCAACAGACGCATAATTAGAAAAACTTCATGGCACATGAGTGGGGACAATTCATGTTTGCTATATTTGCATCATATCATGTTCTTAAATCCAGCAGTCAGCTGCCATCACTTGTTGCTAGGGGGAGATTCGGAGGACCTGCAGATAGCAGGGATTAAGATGGCAGAAACTGGCTTCGTCAGGGCCTTGATTGAACCAAATCTTCTTAAGCTTTGTCCTCGTGACTTCCTAATGAACCTAGGATATGTAATAGTGCTCACTAATAGCAACAACAACAACAACAACAACAAAACTATAAAGTCCCAATTAGTTGGAATCAGTTACATGAATCTTTTGCCGTAATGAGATCTGTAAATAATCACATCTTTAGTTAAGTTATGGGTATTTAAATCCTAATTTCAGTTTCTATTAAAGTCTTTTCAAGTCTCTTTACTTTTCGTACCATCAATAGTATCGTCTTCTAACTTCTGATTATGTAATGATGTTCACTAATATATAACAAAAAAATTTATGAAAAAAAAACAAAATTGAACATCCTCTTTGATCAGTCTGACAGCACCAAAATATTTGTTGTCATCAAAATGCCAGCATTTTAGGCTGTAATTTTGCTAATAAAAGAGTATCTTCCCTACGGCTGGAAGGTTTGATCTAATTTAAAGAGTATGCATACTCCAAAATAAAATAGCAGGAAAATAAGAGAAAACAAAAAACATAAAAAGGTGCAAAGTAACTAATTGTTTGTAAATAAAGAAGAATATTCTTACTCAGATATTCATATGCTACGATCATCGTGGTTCCCCATGCTGACATGCTGAAAAACCTTGGTCCTAGTCCTCTATAAAAGCCTTTCCATCCATCTTCAGCAATCAATCTTTTTACTACTTGTCTTACATTTTGTTTCTGCATATTGTCCATAACCTACAAGATACCAATTCACCAGAATAAATTGAAAATTAAACAAAAATATATATATATATATATATCAGATGTCAAGAAAAATCAATGTAACTACCTTATCCAAACAGTCAATGGAACGGATAAAATGAAAAGGATGACAGGTAACAAAGAGTCGTACTCTTCAATGTGCTCAAGTTATCAAAACATAACAAAAGCCCAAGACAGATTTCAAATTTGCATGATGTTAAAGTTTCACATAATGCCATGTCCCAAGTGGTGATGGTGTCACCTTGTGGCACCAAAATCTGCTGCTGATTTTTCTATACATAAAAACTGATGCCACAGTGAGACTGAATTATTAATGTATTATGTATCAAAGTGTAATTAATTGTGATCTAAAGTACCAAGAACTGTACTTCTCCATTATAGTGTTTCTAATATGGCATTCTTCAGTCCCTTGGTTTGCGCTAATCTTTTCAAAATTGCAAATGTGTCATTAGCATATGTGCATGATCGTTGTATTCATTACAACATATACCAAATTGCTAAAAATTGATAGTACAAGCAGCAGACTATATGAGACTGTAGAAACGAAGCTTTGGGTTGAAATTAGAATTTAGAACCAAGAAAAACTTAGTACAGCCGGAAATTAGTACCTGCAATCGTGTCTTTATTGTGTCTAGAGGAGTTGTGACACAAGATGCCACAGCACCTGCAATGATACCACCAGTTGCTTGAACACAAACTATCTTTGACTGGCTAGGAACATTTTCCTTGTCATTGCCATGACCTAGGAGCCTGCCATAATGTAGACCAGCAAATATATGTAGATAATTCTTGCTAATATGAGGCACATAAATATGAAACATAAACAAACACACAAAGATAAGCTTGTGAATGTTTGCAAGTGCACATGCACACATAGAAAAAGGAAACATGGAGAGTGAGCAAGTGCGCCTCTTGCATACATTTATATTCAGGTCAGTGGACGCACATCCACTGAGAAGGTAGAACTTTCAACGGATTGGATTTTTCCAAAGACAGTTTGAACTGGATAAGAATTAGCTCTGATCCAACAATATGACTGGCAATTCGAGCTAGGTTATAATTCAACATAAATCTGTTTAATACAGATGATACTAAAGTATTATTATGTATAACACCTTTTTTATCTTGTTATGTCTAGATATTAGGTAGTATATACAGCACTAGTTATTGTACTGATCTATTCAATATGAAAAATTCATACCAGTCAGGGCAAATCCAATGGTGCACATTAAGGCTAGACCATTTACAGCTAAGGGGAGGAGAAACCCCCATTGCCCTTCCCCAATACCATCAGTAATGGACTTGAGGTTGATCCAATCCGTATCCAATCCATTTATACCCAAGAGAAATTACATATAGAGAGAGAGAGGAGGGGCGGAGGGAAGGAGGAAGGGTCTAATTTGGGAGGAGCTGAATAGATATCCCCAAATTTAGCACTAGAAATAGCCTGTAGCTCATTTCGCAAAAGAGATTAAGAAATGGATAGATCATATTTTAGACCCAAGTATCTCACTAAACATATTTCAGGACACTACAATTTGTCATCTACCTAACAGCCCACTTTATGACAAGTTCTTGACTAAAAGCATAAGAATGAGTTGTGATGTGTTGTAGTGCTACAGGATGTATGCTTGGATTTGTTCATAACAAGTGAGGTAGACATGAATGTTCCTTTTGCACAGAAAGATGTACATGTTTATCACATTTCTGTGTTGGAGAGAGGTGGTGCACGACTGATGGATATATTTTAAAAAGAGAGGCCTAAAGAGGAATTCAAAACTTGTGCTTAAATAACGATGATATAAGGTAATCCTTGGCTTATCCTCATTCATAGAGGGGAACACCAATAAACTCAGAATGTGTCAATAAGCACTACTTTCTTAGCCTATTCTTCTTCATAAGGGTGTCATAAACAGGGATGAAGATAATATTCAAGATGTGAAGAAGAACTCAAACTTTGATGAACCACAAGTACAGTGATCTAGTCTGTCATGCAGCAAGTCATGTGAATCTTTAAAAGTCAACAGTCCAAGATTTGAACCAAGAACCCATACATATAGATAACATTCATTTAAAGTTTATTATGGAAAACAAATTATGAGAAGAAAGGCCAATTACATATCAGCATCAAGCCTTACAAGTTCAGTCGATGTATATTTGCAACTAAGCCACAGGAGTTATGGGTAACACAACAATCAAACAGATAACCTATCAAAAATAAAGTGCCAAAACCAAAAAAAAAAACTTTAAAAGGCAAAAAACAGGCATGAATGGTATTGTTGATCAAGATACAACATTCCCTTTTCTGGTGTTCATGAGCACTGCACATGATCTGCATTAAAGAATCAGCATGCTTATCTCATATACATGAAGCACTAAACTCCAAGTACATTTTCATTTGCAGCTTATAGAAAATATCTAAACATGAACAGCAAGACAATAAGATGTGAATAATCTATAAAGTAAACAGATTACATCATCATCCACATGCAAGCTTTTCAACATAAAATAACAAGAAAGGCCAGTATTTTACTTCCAGATGACACGTTGGCTGGAACCATAACTTGCCCACCATACAGCACTAGAAGGAGAATATGTCATGACAGACAGACCAAATCCTCTGTACAGTCCACGGATCCCATCAGACTTGATAATTTTACGAGCCACATCAAATCCACCATTATACTTCGCGAAACCAGAGTATCCTTGAACCATCAACTTTTGGCTAACCTAGCAGAAAACAAAAGAACAAAACATGATCTTACAAAACAAATAAAATCAGCAACCTCAAACATAGTAGGCAGACTTAAGTCAAATACTGAGAGATAGTCAAGAGTATAGTTTGAAAAACCTGGCCCTAGATAAACAAAATCCAGAGGCAGTAGTTCATAGTCAGGGAAAATTATATTGCATACTTTTCACGCCATGGTCCCTAAAACATATAGCATCTGATATGACCTGGCAAAGGTTGACGTTAATAGATATCGTCTATAGAACTGAACTAAGTAATGCAACTTTACATACGAGTATTTTCTGACTTTGGTCTATGGCTCAGAAATAGCATTTTAGAAAGACATACCCAATTATTCAAAAATAAAGATGATGAACTATCATATGTATTTAACTTCTACAGCTAGAATAATAGGAAAATTAGCATTTCTTTGACAAATTTTCCATTGCTATGTAGTAACCAAAGGCAAGCTCCTATCCTAAAGGCTACAACCACATGAAGTAAAAAAAATCAGCAAATGATAGTAAAAAAAATCCTGCAGGCTTAGAGCTATTCAAGTTAAGAGAATAGATTCTTCTATAACTTATAAGATGAAAGTATACTAGCAATTTACCAGATAAAAGAAAATTAAAGTAAATATAATGCATGATGCATTGGTATGTTTTCTCACACAGGATAAACCAACACAGAATATTGGACATTGGAACAATAAACAGAATAGAGACAAGTTGAACAGATTATATTTTAGTTGATGGCTTCAAGGGGATAAGCCACTTTTACATTTAACAAGCAGCATAAGTGCAGAACCTAAAACCATTTTCGTAACAAAATTTATCACCCACAGAAGTCATAATCCACATGGAAAACCTGCATGCTCAAAGATAAGATGTAGACAGTCAATTAAATAGTCAAATACCATTAAGGGACTCATTGTAAGACCAGGAAAAAAGCATTTTCCAAGAAGATTATCTTTTAAGCTGAACTAAGGTTTTGATATTTCCTTGATGATTGGAACTTCAGACAACTATGCTTATTCTGTTACAAACATCTGAAACAAAAAAATACTGCTAATCCACTATCATGATTGAATGAGAAAAATAAATCAAAAACTTAAGATCCATTCAATTGATGGAAATTTTGTCTGCCTATTCAGATTACTTTTTTAGGTTCTAGTGAGCCAAGAATAATGTAATTTGACTTGTTTCACTTGTTTTCAAAGAGAACAAATCTTGATATTACATGGAGAGAAAAGTCATGTAAAAAGTACTGTCGAAGGGCAAAACCATATTCACTTGGAAAAATAGAAAACAAAAAATGTTGCTTGATCTGGAAATTAAAAAAATATAAGAAATTGTCAGAACCAAGAATTATACCACGTCAATAGGAACAAAAACAGCTTGGGAGCACAGAGATGCTGACATGCCAGCAATGCCATTTGCTAGGGCAGCTTGAACTGGTTCAGAGAGCTTAAAGGGTTCCACCAGGTTTAGTGAAGCCACTTTTGTCATTTCCAAAGATGTCAGGAAAATGATCCTGGCAGGAACAGCTCCGGTAATAACTGTGCCAAAGCCCCTATAAAGACCAGGTATGCCATCAACCTTGAGCATATTTCTGAAAGCCGAAAATGCATTCTTCTGTACAACATCACTTGAAGCAACCTGCATCCTGGTCTTTATGACAGAAAGCGGATATAGAGCTACAGTAACACCACTAAAAATTCCAGCTCCCACAACAAATAACTTGGTTTTGTCGAGCCTGCAGAAAAGAATTTAGTAGTAACCAAAAAGCACCAAGATTGCTGAAAGCTCAATCAGGAACAGACAACAATAGTACCGTAAACTTGCAATTTAAGTACAACTAACAAAATCCATGAAATTTGTGACAATCACGGAGTGGGGTCAATGATTATAATTTGATCCCACCAGAATCCATAAATGGCACTCACACATTATGCAAATCTTGTTGAGCTTGAGCACTTGATCTTATCTACCAAATAACTTCTCGTATACTTTGTAGTTAAACTATCTCAAGCCTATCTCTAGAACTTAGTTTCTCTTTTAGTTTCTCTTTTTCCATTTTCTTTCATATAACATCTTAGACGAAAATCTAATTAACCATGTTTTGATGTATAAAGGAATAGAAGATCTATCATAATTTAAATCAAGAACTATGAGCTATAAAATCCATCCTTGCTTTTGGTTCCAACATCAAGTTATAATTTCTTGAAATACTCCTCAACTTTACATGGAGTCTATAATCACCATTGACATAATTGTTTAATTGGTTTGGCTGCTTAACTAACAAGAAGAAAAAGGACTATATTGAGAAACCTTATAGAAAAGCCAAATAAATTATCAATGCTTAAAGAATAAAAAAAACAAACAAACAACACCTGAAGAACACTAACAAGCATTCAGCATATTAACTCAATCAAATAATTTCAAATAAGATACCCATAATACTCAATTAAACGATAAATGGGTTTTGGGTTTGTATTACTTTTTTCATTAGAAAGCAAAAACCGAATTCTTGATAAAGAGTAAAAACCACAGCAAAAGAAAAGGCCAAAAGTGCTGAAAAATCATAATAGGGAGACATTCTGATCCATAAGATATAATCAAGAACAACCCAAATCGAAATACCCACAATTTGAGGAAGACTTTGACGTGATAGCAAGTAATGACGCAGAAGAGACAAGTAAACCCTAAATTAGGGTTTGGAATAATCCAAGAACACCAAAAAGATTAGACAGAGCAAAAAAGGAAGATATAGTCAAGAACAAAGGAAATGGACAAACTCACAAATCCGAGGAATCTAAAGAAATAATCAAACGAACTAGCAAGTGGTTGGCAATATCCAATAACACTAAAAAACCGAACACAAGATGGAACAAGTACGAGAAAACTAGGGAAAGTGTCAGACGAAGTAGCAAGGGGCGACCAGTAGAAAAGTAATCTTTGAACTGATGGTTAGCAACATGCAAGAACACCAAGAGAATCAAATATTGAACGAGAGAGTAAAACGCCGAATATAAGATACGAGGAAACAGAAGAAAGAACCAGACGAATTAGCAAAGGGCGATCAGCACAGAACAATCCTTGAATGGATGCTTGATAACAACCTAGAACACCAAGAAAGATTAAATCTTGCGCGAGAGATGGTAAACTTTGACCACAAGACCAAGAAGAGCCCAAAAAAAAAATAGAAAACCAAGAAAGAGTAAATCTTGAGGAGTAAAATCCGAACATAAGATCAGGAACGACGCAAATGAAAAATACGAGGGAGAAAACAAAAGAATCAGAAGAAACTCAGCAAGTGGCGACCCAGCAGAGAAGTATTCTCGAAATGATGGTTAGCAACATCGAAGAACACCAAGAAAGATCAAATCTCGAGAGGAATACAGAAAGAGAAGCTTACTTGTCCCAGTTGATCTCGGTCTGGTCGAAAGATGGAACATTAGGGCGAGCGATCTCCCTCGAAGCCATTCCCCTTACCGCCGAACCGAATCGAGAGAAGGGGTTCGTCCGCGAACGAGAGAGAGAGAGAGAGGGATCGAAGAATAGCAGCGGGCTCCTCTTGGCTCTTGCCCGCGACTTATAGCGACAGCGGGGCGGCGGCGGCCGCGAAGTGGGAACCGAGTCCTCGAACCATTGGGCTAATGGATCCTCTCCAACTCCTGCACGAGTGGACGCATGATCGGACCGTTATTACTACGTCGTAGCGATTGGGCCCACAGTATCTGACGGGCTTGATGGGGTATTTGACGATTGAAATTAGAAGACACACAACTGGGAAAGCAGATGCTCCCGTCGCCTCAATGCCTTCTTCGCTTGCGCGACAAGAAAAAAGCAACAATATTTTTTATTTATTTATTTTTCTATTTAATTATCTTTTTTATTTATGTTTTTCTCTTCTTAAATTTAAAAATATAATAATAATAATAATAATAATAATAATCAAGAAAGGTGTACATGAAAACAATATCCCTTAATTACAACTTAAATTAACCCAACACCCATATGTCGAAATAATGATAATAATAATAATAAAGATGATGATTACAAGTACGATAAACATGACTTGATCGAGTGAAATAACCCGCAACATTCTCAATTTATTCTCACATCAGATAAATGAATTTAGATTAACATATAAATATATACATATGATGATATGCTATTGTTGGTTTTAACTTAATCCCATCTTAATCAAATTAATAAACGGATTATCACATCAAATTAGTATAAGAGTCCCTCTATCATTGAAGCATATTAAAAGGTTCTAGTAGGAATTATTAGAGGTTCTAATAAAAAAAGAGTTATTCATGTATAGAATCAAATGGTACGTTACATCAGACAGTTTTTTCTAAGCTTTGTCTCGTATGCATTGTTTAGGATATGATTTTGAACTGAATCTTATCAAAAATATTATATTTAAATTAGAGATATTGGTTTATAAGAGGTTCTAGTAGAAAAGAATTATTTATAAAGAATCAAATGGTATGTTACACTATACAGTTTTTTCTAAGCTTTGTCTCAATGTAGATTTATAAGAGTTTGATTGGTATGTTATTGGTAACTTCAGTCTAAGCATTTTGAGCCAATGGTTCAAACTTAACGAAATTAATGAGTATATATCAATTAAGTCAATCAAGATGGGCCATGATAATTTGTATCAAAATTGGTTTAATATTATGATATAATGAGAGGCTTACGAAGGAAAGGACAATATGTAAATAAAGCCAAAAGTGTGTCATAAGTATATCATTATTAACTTTGGTTTAAGCATATTGAGTAAGTGATTCGAACTCAATGAAATTAATGAGATCATTCTCATAATTGGAATTAAGATCAAGGATATAATAAGAAATGATTACTCGTACACGAAGTGTGTCATAACATAAAATCATCATGGGCTAAGCCTCATATATATTATATTATAATTTGATTTTAACTTAGGCTATGTCTTGAGGATGACGTTAAGCCCTAACAATTTAATGAATATACTATTATTAATTTAAGCTTGAGTATTTTGAGATAGTGGTTCAGATTCATAAAGTTAATGAGTTAGAATCAATTTATCTATAAAATCAATCATAACAATTGATAACAAAGTATGTCATGATATGGATCCACCACTAAATTAAGCCTTACATACATTAAAGTATTATAACACTCTCGATTTAGTCTGGCTAATAAAGATGTGATAGGTGTACTATTATTAACTTTAGTTTAAGTATTAACTAAGCCTCACATATATTAAGGTATTGTAACACTCCCCGTTTAGTCTCACATAAAAAATGAACTAAAAGTTAGATTAGCTAAAAAAGATATGATGGGCATACTATTATTAACTTTGATGGATATATTATTATTAACTTTAGTTTAGGCTTAATAAAGTTAATAAGAAAGTTATCCTATCATGGCCCAATATGAACTACATTGGGTCTTAATGAGCACATCAATTCCTTAAGTAAGAGAAATTATAACACTTTGATTTAGTCTGGTATCGGACACAGTAGATGTACTAATGTCAATTTCAACTTAAATAATCTAGGTCATTAATTATGTTGTTTTTTCTATCTAGTGTCGTAACAATCGATATTATAGTCAAACTATTATTAGCGCATAATAAGAGACTAAAGAAGAAAAGGACTAAGAGTAAATTGGATCATCTCTAATCCCATAAATAGTTTTTTTTACTCAACTTATCACCTTCGAACTAATTGTTATGATATGATTTGATAAGATAATTAACTTGATAATTTTATTAAGCTTGAATAACTAACTCAAAATATTTAAATCGAAGTTAACAATTATATATCCGACCTTTATTAGTTAATTTAAGTCTTAGCTCAAGGTTATGTTTGAAAACATATTTACATTTTTAATGTGGCAGTCCAAAAAAGAGATTAGAGGGAATGTGGAATTTTGCAATACCTTTAGTGTCTGATGAGCAATAAATTAAAATTATATTTTAAATATATATATTTACATTAGTATTATTTGATAAAATTATATTTCAAAAGTTCATGAATATTTTGTGATAAATTCACCCTTCTAATATTTTTAATATTTATTCAAAAATTAAATATGTATTTTAAAAAATAATAAGTAAATAAATAAATGAATTTATGTAATCTTATACAAAATTTTATATGGCCCAAATATATAATAAATATAAAATATTATTTTATATAAAAAATAATATTTAAAAAAAATAAATAAAATTTTACTTTATTGAAAACATAAATCATGTTAGTTTCCTACTAAATCATTTTGAGAATCTTGTAATTTTAAATAAGATCATAAAGTACTTTCAAATTTTAAAAATTACATTAGCATCTCATAAATGCTAAAATGCTAATAAATAACATATTTCCATTACAATATTCAGGTCAGATATGATTTCAAAAAACAATAAATACTAATTCATATTTAAAATATGCATTGGGCTCCAATACACATTTCAAATTTATTTCCAAACACATCCTAAATCAAGAATGTTGCGATAATATAATGAATACATCAATATTATCATCCCACAATCCTTAATAAGTAGAGGATATTGGAAATTTTCTTAAATTTAATCAATCAATCAATAATAGACAATTTGCAAGTACACACATGTACATGCATAATTCAATTGTGTGTGTGTGTGTATATATATATATATATATATATAGAAAGAAAGGTTGCCTCAAATTGAGTTCCTCCTTCAGTTGCACATCTCACACTCAGCAGTTTCAGCTCTTTATGCTGCCTCAACACAAAAACTGGATCTGTATCTGAGTTGTAATCTAAAAGCTGCATTGCCAGCGGAACATAAACTATCAGATTCGTGATTGCTATTTCCACACATAGTTAATGGAATTTGATGGCTTTCTAACAATAGTTTATACAAACGTGGCTGATCAACGAGTGACGCATCCATAGTTCATATTTGCCGATCATACTTTGATCATCTCTGCAGAATCCTGAGCTCAGGAGAAATTGAATTTGGTGATCACACAGGAGTGGGCTCTGTAGCACACTCTTGATCGCAAAAACTTCAAAATCTTTGGGCACCTCTGTGATATCTGCTGCTACTTGGATCACACTCAGGAAATTTTCAACGATAATGCGTCGAAATAATCGATGTTCTCTCTCGGTAATGAACTTAAATCTGCCAACACACATCCCTCGTTGAAGAGGGAAACCCCACGTTGTGGAGAGCAATCACACCACGATCGATGGCATATTTGATTTTGTACTCCGGACATCATTTGATTGCCTGAACCCATCGACACTCGTCGGTTCAGGTTCGATGATGAACTTAAGAGATGTGTTAGAACAGAATATTGCATATCAGTTCTTCATCGATTTTGATGCGGAATAATGCAACACATGAATCGTACTTGAGGCGCACAATTTTGCTCGAATCATAGCAGCTTGTGGTTAACCGGGATGAAATCCTGCGTCTTTAAATTCAGCATCGTGTTTGGCTTTAATTTGGGATCCATGCATCTTCGGTTTCAGGACTGTGATGAGATGATGAAGCAGGAGTCTTTGGATCGTTTCCACTTTTGAGATCTCGATGATGACTGCCGATACTTGTTGTTCATCGACTCCGAGGACGGGCTCCGGTGTTGCCAAAGGTCAGCTCATCTCTTGCAGCCCATATCTTGTGTGTTCAAAGATCGAGAAAGATGCAAAACCATTTCAGCTTAGGCTAAAACAATGGATAAACCAAGATAATAGAAGCAGACATGCATCTTCATCATGCTCCTTGCATTGCAAACCAGTTCCTTTGAATGAACATGGAGGGTGGTTAATCTTCAACATTCTTATCAAGATATGCTGCATGCAGATGTCTCATATGTGAAAAGAAGAAAGCCAATAAAACAAATCTCATATGTGTCTTTAGCAAACAAATGATAGCGATGCCGACTGCGAGCTTCTTCATCATAACAAATACAAATTGCAGTAGATATCACAACCGTAAGCCTTCAATTTCTTTGCTCGTGTTACGATAACTGTGCTACCGTGATAGGGGGTATCCGACAGAAGTAGTGATCTTGGAACCTAGTAAGAGTTGCACAGAGTCTACACGAGTGTTCCTCCACATGAAAGAAGAAAAGGAAAGGCTAGGTGACAGGATGTCGGCCTGCAATAATTGTCAGCCAAGGTATTGAGGTGCTCGAGGTGGAAATGGAGAGTGCAAGTCACTCAGCAGAAAGTTTGAAATAAAGGATGAAGTTATGGAGACCATGTGAGCGCATCGAATACATGGCTAAGGGGGGGGGGGATCATAAATTACAAGGGGTCCAGCGGAACACAGGTCCAACAGTAGTAGGCAGGAATAAAGTGGAAGACAAGAGACTCTGTTGCAAGCAGACACTCCTCGTCTTGGAGATCTAAAAGATCTTCAATGACTGCCAAACAAGATGTTGATCCATGCAGCCGAGCGACCGACTGTTGACATAATCTTCAACCCCTACTATTGCAGTACGCTCATAGGATCACAGCGACCGCTGCCGAGGCACAATTCTTTTGCATCTTTCGGATGTATTTGCCTACGTGAAAGTATTGTATGCATACTGTCGCATGCTTGCATAGCTCCCA